CGCAATCAGTATGGCTCTAAATCTTGATACCTAAACCAGAAATTATTACGCCTTTAAGTATTTTGCACAGCATTGTTCTTACAGGCAGCAGAAATAAGGATAAGGTGCATGAGAATATACTGGTGTCTAAATGGGCATCTTGGCAGAGGATGCATAATACAAAGAGGAAACAGTGATATCATTGGAGGAGCCTGAGGTTGGGCTTAGCATACACAAGCCAAGTCCAGACATTGCCTTAGATTTGCTCTGTGAAGTTTGACCAGTCATAAAATCTTCACTTAGCCTGTTTCTTTTCTGTAACATATTATTTGGAGGGTTAAGGTGATGCTTGAGAGTGTTCTTTATAGCAGATTTGTGTAATATTTGTAGTTCTTGTTTTTACCAATCACAGTTGTGGTTGTGTGACAGTGTTTGGGAACTCCATAGCTAATGTGACCTGACTATTCATGATTCATTTTTCCATATTGGTGTGATCTAGGGCTTCTGAAGACCATTGGAGTGTGGAGCCGTGAAGTCATTCATGGTCACATCCAGCTACAGATGACGAGGGCCACCTTCTATGTGTGAAAAATGGGGGTGTAATTACAAAACATTTGAGGATAAATCTGGATGGATGTGCTAAATGGACACACAGAATTAGAGAAAGGGAAGAACTGAGGAAGAAGCCAGTGACTCCAGATTCACAGACAAGGTCAATGATGCACTTATTAGCTGTGACCATGGTCATGTAGATCTGGACCTCCAAGGAAAGTGAGGACTAGGCATCCAGATTTGGAAATAGTAACATATTATCAGGAACTAAACCCATATGAGACACCGAGAGGAGAGTTGAGGAGACCTGGTAAGCTGAGGATAAACCCCGATGATGCCATCTAGTACCCAAATTAAATGCCTTGGAGAGTTTTTCAATAAAAGTTATAATTGAGAAAACAGATGAAAGAATGAGAAACAGTCACGATTAAGTTTAGCTCTAGTTATATGTAGTCAGGTCACTTTATGAAAAAAAGAGAATCAAAAGTACACTAAGGTATGATAGAAAACACAGAGTCCAGACTCCTCGAGTCTAGTCAGATACTGATCTTACAGGGTTTAAATGCAGTCTCCTGGTTAAAAAAAGACACCCTTTCTGGTGAACAATTTGGCAGCCTATACCAAACCTTTGAAAAGTCAGTATCCCTTGAGCTATTAATTCTCCTTTCAGGAATCCTCCCAGTGGAAGTAGGCAGAGCTGCAGATAAAGATTTGTGCACAGTGATGCTTCCTCATGAGGCTTGAGTTTCTCTGGAAGGCCAGGAATGGTGGGAGCATTTAACTTTAGTGTCCTTTAGAAAGGTTTGGATACTGGGTGACAGCGTGGCACAGGACATTAAATTTTCATTGGTGCTTAAGGTAAGAGATGAGTGTGCAGATAAATCTTGTGCTTTACTCTCAGGGCCACTCTGCTCTGCTCCTAGAGTTACTGTGAGGAGAAAGCTGGCCTGCAAGGTGAAGTCAGCATCTTTTTTGACTTGAGGCCCAAAGACATGTGATCCAGTCGTTATGATTCCTAGTCCAGTCTCATTTTTTTGGTGGTTCTGGATTCTCTTGCTATGTTGTACGTGGTGAAACTTTTGTTCATGATAGTTCTTTCTTGCCTTTTTGAATGAATTTCCCTTCTCCCTTTCCTTTGTATATTTGGTGAGCTCCTATTCATCCTTTGAAGCCTCCTGCATATTTGGTCTCTGAATAGATTTTGTCTTACACACTATTTTGGGTGAAAAAAAGGTGTGAATGCTTTAATGTGAGATACACATACTTCAGTTCTGCCACACTCTTCACTTCTTCTGACTATTGCTTTATTTCATTTGTTACAGTCTTGACTTTCTGTGAGAAACTTCTCAACTTCTCCTTCAGACAGAAGTAATCATTTTTTTCATTTTAAAATATCTTTATATCCATTATTGCATTTGTCATCCTCTATGAGGAATTTTTAAAATACTTTTTTCAATTCTAACGTAATAAACTTTAAAGATCTACACACAAATAGAAAAAAAAATTACTCCCAGCCTCACTGCTGTTTTCATTTTGCTGAATGTTTCTATGTATTGTATGTGTACATGCATAAAAGCATAGTTTTAAGACTATGTTTTAAAATCTTGATTTTTACTGTAAATAATGTAAACATAGATTGTTTCTTGTTAGTGTTGTTACTTTTTTAGGTAGTAGTTGATATTGAGGATCAGGACTTCTGTTTTGTCTCTTTAGTACCTAAGCACAGTGTTGGTCGGGGCCAGCATAGGGACTTAGTAAATGTTTGTTGAACTCTAGGGCTAGAAAAATTAATGTTTCACCATTCTAACCTTCAAGGAGTTCATTTCTAGGAGAGACACACATCTATTCATTTATTCCGCAGTGACTTACAAAGAACCGCTATCCAGCAAGCATCATTCTGTCGCCAGGGCCACAGCAGTGCATGGTGCCTGAGTCCTCATACAGTGTGTGCCCACAACAGTGACTCACAGACACCAGGCTGCTTGCGGTCACCGGCGGGGCTTGTGAAACCAGGGTGACTGGGCCTTCCCTCCAAGTTGGTGCTTCTATAGGTCTAAGAACCTGCACTGCTGGCCAGCTCCTGGGGGGACAGTGATGCGGCTGGTCAGGAGTCCAGACTTTGAGAACCCATGACCTACAGGATGGATCTGGAATACGTTATGGCAAAAGAATACAGTTGTCTAGTTTGTGGTGGGAGAAAGCTGAGGTCTGAAGGATGTTTAATCCTCTCCAGTTCTTTAAATCCCAGGGAAGAAGGAGAGGGCTAGGATAAATACTCTGTTCACAGTCTTCACCCTCCTCTTCAGATGACCTCAGCAGTGTCCACAGGGCTACAGAAGCCAGAGACTGTCAGAGAGAAGGCCACAGTGCCTTTTTTGTGCCCTGACCTTCAGTTACCATACGTGACGTTTATCTTCAGAGCAACTCTAAGGGAAGTGTGATTCTTCTTGTTTTATAGAAGAGATAACTGAGGGCAGAAAGCTTATGTAACCCACTGTGATTCCTCATGCCCATGAGTGACACTTTTGGAGCTCGAAGCCCAGCTTTCTGAAAACCTTCAAAGCCATGACATTGCCATGACTTCAGCTGAGACTGGCCTGAGGTTGAGTGCACTGTGGAAGGAGTTTCTGAAATGCTTCAGGAGTTGCAGCTGATCCTCTGGGTGGGCGATAGGGCAACCTATCGCAGAGATAGTGCAAGGCTGTTTCTGCCTTTCTGCCTTTTGTTTGAGGGCTGTAAAATCCATTGCCCTTCTCTTTTTGCCCATGTTGCCAGGAAGCTCTGAGCCATGGTTTGTAAGTAATGTTTTCCTTAACCTAAAGTTCTTTGATATAATGATTTCCCTACTGTTTTAAAACTGTCATTACCTAAGTCTCCTTTAGAAGTTGTCCAAAATGATTTTTAAATTAGGCATATCCTAGACTTTCCAGAATTAAAATGATGACTTTGAAAGTTTCTTTTCTTTTCTCTTTTTAAATTTTTAAGACTGATTTGAGCCAACCTTGGACAGATAAGTGGACACATGTAGGACTGTGGATATGTATCTATTTTATACCCAAAGGTTTATCCACTTGGACTTGGGTCCATTTTGGTTTGGGCCACGTCCAGGCTTTGGTTCTGGCTCCTCAGTATTCGCTTCATGACTTTTATATCCGTGAGTTTCAAGATCCGTGAGTTAGAAATGAAAATAATGCTACCTCACAGGGTTTTTGAAGGATTAAACTACACAATTTATATAAAATACCTAGTTCAGGGCCCTATGTACAGTAGGGGTACATTGGATAGGATTAGTACTATTGTTATTGCTATATTTAGTAAAGTCTACTTTTTATAGAAAGATTGGACTATATATTTGCAGCTGCTCTAGATTTTTTTCTAGAATGTGCAGTGTGCTTAGCATTAACCCATGCAAGGCTGCCAATCCTGCTTCTCCTTTCAAGGCAGCTCTATGCCAGATACCCTGCCGATTCTTGATGACAGTAGACAATTATTGTGGAACCCTTAAAGTTTGCTGAGGTCACCCATTTAGGGGTTGGTGAGTAAGACTTAAACAACTTAGAAGTCTCCACCTTCTTGTTTATATGACTTGAGCATGCTTGCTGGGAAAATCCTCTGTAGCCTGATAGTTTTGGGATATTGCTTAATTTTATTAGGCTCTTTCAACTTTTCTTTCCAAGTTTTGATGACTAAATGCAGTGGCCTGGAGCTATGTTTTAAGGAGAGGGTGAGTTCAAGAGTCCTGAGTCTCCTTGTGGGCATTAAGGCTCCATCTGGGGGGCACAGGAGATGAGCATAACAAGAACTACTCCTTTGTTACCTATGCCAGCTGGTGGTACCTGGGTATGGTGGGATCCCCCAGGGCTGAGTGTGCCATGGAGCATGATGCCTGGCAGCCTTCATACAGGGTTGGTTTTTCCCACCTTTGACCTTCTCTGCCTAAACTATTGTCTCAAAAAGGAAGCTCTTTGGGTCATAAGATGCCATCTGGCAGTTCATATATATCTCTATAAACATACTGTTTTATGTAGTAGCCTGGTGGGCAGGAAGTAGGCAATTCATCAGAAAGAGAAATAACAAAAAATAAACTGTTGCTAAAATAATGAACTTCCTCTTTCAAACTCTCTTTGCTGGTGCTTATCCTTTTATAGTCTTTTTCTAGCCTGTTTAGAAAAACAAAAAAGAGACTAGTAAGCAGTAATGTGTGTTTCAAAGAGACCTGATCCCAATGCTTCATGGCCACATGCTGTGTGTTTCCAACAGGCAACACAGTAAAACACACTGAGCCTGTCCCATTGGGCAGGGATGAGAGAACGCTCTCTGCCTTGGGGACCTGGTACCTCTGCAGCCTGGCATTCTTTGTATTCATGCTGAAATATACTCAGAAGTCTGAGTAAGGTGTTGGGACATTGCCTGCGCCTTTTTGGTAGACCATCCCATTCACCAATTCCCTTATGTTGTCTGTCTCCCAGGTCCAGGAGGCCGCTAGTCGGGGCCTGAAGTTCGTCAGCGTCATACCTCAGTACCATTACCCTACAACCTTGGTGGGCAGCAGCTCCCTGGCATCCCCTGCCAACAGTGCTACCAAAAATGCACATGGAGATCACACACCGTTAGAGAATGAGGACCCAGGGGCTGTGGATGTGAGCCTTGTTCCTGCCAGGGTGGACCAATGCCTGGAGCCCAGTCCCAGCCCCACTGGGGAAGTTCCTCTCACTGAACAACCCAGCTCACCCTTGGGAGAAGGTGAGGATAGAGAAGCCTCCTTGAGGAAGTTGAGCCCAACTCTGGATGGACCGGATGTTGACCTGTTGGATGTGCATGAAGAACAGTGCTCGGGAAGTAAGTATGTCATCCCTGGGAGTATTGACATGTTTAAAGAGAGAGCAACAGCTTTTCAGGAAAAAGAAGTTGAATTGCAGTGTAGACACAGAAGTCTGCCAAACAAGAGAAACTTTATCAAGCAGTTGTCTGGGCCACCCAACTATTTGTGTGCTGCAGGTATGACTTCTGAGAGAGCAGAGCCTCAAGAAATTGATAAGCAACACTCCAAAATATTCTTTTAAGTGTATTCTGGACTTTGAGTTATTTCATGCCTTAGGCTCTGGATGTGAAGTAGATTTTAGACTGTGAGTTATTTTAACCCTGGGGCTCTGGCCCTGCCTTTGTATAGAAAGTATTGGCAGACCGGTCACCTATGACCTTGGACTCTCCACTCTAGAATATCTGCCTAAAACAAGAAATCACAGAAGCCAGTTGAGGGCAAATTGTGCAGGAAACTGTGATTCAACTCACTAGCATGTAAACAACCAGATTATGGCCTCTCAGGGAGGTCATAATCGTCAGATCAGCACCACGTAGAGAACACTCTGCCAAGGAGAAGCTGCCAGCATGCACTCCTGCTAATCGCATTGTAACAGCCATTAGAGCGTGCACATTGGGTTCAGGAATTCAAATAACAACACAACAATCATAGCAAACATTTATTAATACTTCCTGAGTACTAGGCCCTGTGCCAAGAAGCTTTTTAAATGACTAATCTTTTAAGTTTAAAATAGTCTTAGGTGTGGGTGAACTCTATTATGTCACACTTTTCCAGTGGAGTAGTGTGAGGTTGAGAGAGAATGTGTGTTGGCCAAGCTGGAAAGGGATAGATCTGGCAAGAGGCTGATCTACCATCCTATCATGCTTCTCAACTTGGTCTTTGCTGTGTAGTAGACTGGCAGGGTTCCTCAAGGACCTTGGTTGGCAGAGAGCAAGTTTGTCTTCATTCCCTCCCCAGAGTTTCTTTTCACTCCTTTCTCTAGGCAATCTAGTATCTCCTAAGAGCAAGGTGCTCACAGTAATGATGAAGCCTCTTCTGGCCCTTAGAAGGTGAGCAAGTATAAAGACTTGACAGTAGGAGATCTTGAAGCCTCACTAGGATCTTTGATTTAGGCCTTTCTCAGTCTCTGATCAGTGTTACTGTCTATTAGTCTTTGAAATTGTCCTCTTACAAATGATAAGGAATTTTATACTTTGAGAGGCAAAAACAAGGTAAAATAGTTTTATTTCCATCAGTAATTCTTGAGAAGAAAATTATAGGATGGTGAATTCTGGGAGCTTATTCGTAAAGTTGCTTAGAGGGAGAGTCTAGAGCTGCTTCAGTCCTGGGATACATTAGGGCTATCATTTAACCAAGGTCTGGCTCCTTTCTCAATATGTGTGAAAGTACAGCTCTTCTTGTGTGTTGTTTTTCACTCAGGTCAGGTAGACTTCCACTCCCTGCTCAGAGCAGCTGAGAATATGGTTAGATCAGACCCGTGCCCCCGAATGACCCCAGGTCTTAATTCTGGAGTTCTGTCTTCCCATGGGCAGGCTGGATAGGCACTGCGTCCTGAGGAGGAGGACGGGCCTTTGAGGAACCCTTCTCCACAGTCCAGGACTGTGCACAGGGTGGAGGGATCAGGTCAGACACAGATGCGAGGGGCAAGACATGGGGAGGCAGGAAGTGCAGTGGGTAAGAATCCAGGCTTTGCATGTCCTGGCCACCTTCTGAGTAGGCAGTAGTCTCGGACAAGACATTCCCATTTTACAAAAGGCAGAGCAGTAGCTACTTGTGGGAAGGTTCAGTATGATAGGATTCGAAAATGCTGAAGGCTGGTGACTCGTCAGTGTGACCAGCCATTGTTGACTGACTCTGAGCTGTTGGCTCTTGTTCTCCACCTGTCACAGAACTAAGACTGTGAGAAAGAGTACGAGGCTTGCTTGGGAGGGTACAGATACTTTGTATTGAGGGTACAGACACTTTTGTGTTCCAGAATCCATCTTTCTTCAAGGCTCCTTCTCAACTTCCTGCCTTCCGATTGTTACTGAGGACAGTTCCTAACTAGGAGACCTTCTTGTTGGACTCTCCTGCTGCCCTGTGACTACTTGTCTTCCTCACCCAGAGACTCCCTCGGGGTTCAGTGCATGGAAGCCCCTCATTACCTGGAGTGTTCTGGCCCATCTCAAGACCCTTTTCTTTACTAGAGGCTGGAGAATCCTGGGTTAATTGTGTTGATGGAGGCATCAGCTCTACAGTGAGCAGCAGGTTCTGCCTGGCCAGAAGGCAGAGGTCTCTAAGCCTTCCCATCTCTAGCCTCCCAGGTAGGCAGGGACCCCACTCTACACGCACAGCTGCCGGTCCATGGTCCAGTGCCCTGAGCTGAGTGAGGCAGCTCCCTGTTAGCTTTTTTCCTTTCTTGGTGAAATGAGTGACTTTAGACTTTCCATCAGGTGATAAACATGCCGGGGTTACTGGTTGGCGTGTGGGCCCGTGGGGATGGCCAGACAGCCATCGTGAGGGCGGTCACCTGAGGGCACAGTCCTGACTGCTCCCTAGGTGTGTCTCGGTTGCTTCCTGCCTCAGAAGATGCTGCTGTGTTACCAGTCTCCCAGATAGAGGTCCGTGCATGCCTGCATGCAGTTAACTTCTTTTTGTTGCAGCCTGAGCACTTGGCCGGATGTCCAGGGGCCCTATTCCCACTGGTCATGGCCTTCACCTGACCCCAGCTTGTCTCCTAATCTTTTTCCTGGGGAGTCTTATTGTTTCCTTCCCTGGGAAGCCTGCTCACTATCACGCCCCAACATTCATGTGCAGTGCCTCTCCCACCCTCCCTTTGCTCTAGCTTGCTCAGCTCTCAGCTTGCCTTTCTCCCAGGGCCCCAGAAGGAGGAGGAAGTGTTTTTACTCCTCTTTCTGCCAGGTGGACTTAAATAGGCTTCCATAGCAGACAGGTTTTTTTTTTTTTTTTTTTTTTTTTTTTTTTTTTTTAATCCAGAGGGGAGTCTTCCTTCTTCCCCTCCTTCTCCTCAGTTAATTTGTCTCCTACCTAGGAGACCTGGTGGGGAGGAATCCAAGCAGGGTGCACTGAGGGGATCTTCACAGTTTCCACCCGGAAGTGAGGACAGACTGCCCTCACTTCTCAGGGAGGACCATGCAGCTTGGACCATGCCCTCCTGGGTTTCTTTTCTTTTTCACTGACTTTATTTCTTGGTCTAGGGGAATTTCCTGCTGGTTTGAGGTCTGTGCTGTGCAGTGGTCACGTGGGCTCGTGTACAGACAGCCCCAACATCTCTGTTACTGCAGCTTCAGACAGAGAAATGAAGAGGCCAGATAGGTTCCCACAAATTCTGAAATTTAATCATTTTAAGAAATCTTCCAAGCATTGCTTTTCTTCCTGTTTTAGAGATGTCAACCAGAAACTGGAGCTACTGGGCTCAGTTGCTTTTCTGCCAAAGAAGTTTTCTTCAGTAGGCCTCCTTGGCTGCCAGGTCAGTGTGAGCACCTAATGTGTGGCCTCCAGGGGCTTGTGACTTCTCCCCATCATCCCTCCCAGATCTGCCAGCTGCTATATCATCTTTATGGCCTTTCCCTCAGTCTGTGAACAGTCAGCCTTTTGAGTCCCGACCCCTGGCCAACAGCACCTGTTTTCTGCATCCTGATGATAGATTTGGGAACAAATACAGAGTTTGGATTGAAAGACTTCGGGCTTCGCCACTTACTGTGATTCTGGGGTATCCACTTAGTGCTGGTACCACCTCCTCCTGCAGAAGTCGTCTGAATGATGACAGTTATGACCTTTGTCATAACTTTGTCAGCACTGTACATGGGTCTGGGCTGCTCTGGTTCTGATAAGTGGGTTCCTGTGCATCCTGTGTGCATAGAGGTTCCTGTACTTTGCTTTCCCCTCTGCCCTGGCCCAGTCAAAACCAGGCCAATGACAGCTTTGGGCTTTCATATCCCGATATCCAGGAATCTGGATAGAACAGCTTCAGGACAGCTGCTCTCCCTACTACAGCCCCTACAGCCATGCCTTCCCAGTGGGAACCATCTGCCTTGTTCCCCCATCCATGATCTCCCTCTACTGCACCCTCTCCAGCCACCCCAGCTTAGGCTACCCAGCCACATCCAACTCCAAATTGTTCTTTCCAGCACATTAATTCTCCAGCCACTGCTGCCTTTGGAGTCACCATACTCCATGGCCCTCTACAGTATCTAGACTGCAGACTTCTGTGCTGGGCTTCAGAACTGGACAGTTGCCTCTTTGCTCCCTACTTCCTTTGGGCACAGCCCAAGCAAATGGGGTCATCCATTGACTGTTCCCATAAGCCTCCAGCCTTGGGCCCTGCACCCGCTAATCATCTCTTCCTTTTCTCTATTTGACACATGTGTAGCATTTCCTGTAGGACAAGGGTGACTGTGCTGGATATGAGGGATCTAAATGAGACGAGGCAAGGCCCCACATCAGGGCAGAAGAGAATGACAGGGAGGCAGCCTGATGCTCTTTGGGTATTTTGCCAGAGCATTCTCAGAAACAATGCCTTCCGCATTCTCTTGGGACTTTCTGTCCCATGTCTGGAAACATGCTCCAGCTGGGGTCATGGCAGAGTCATAGAGCAGCTGAAAAAATTTAAACAAACTTTGGGCAAGTTTTTGGAACTGTTGGTGCCTGCTCACATGTGATTGTGTGTTGAAGAATCAGAAGATAAAAACATCAAAGGGCATCATTTTTGGGTAGTTTCTCTTGGACGTTTTCCATGTAAGTAGAGAGAGGACCATGGCCAAGGAGACAGTGGGACTGGGACAGAAAAGTTCACTACGCATCTGAAATCAGCTTTCTCCCAATATTTCATTGCCACTAATGCTTTGGAGGCACTTTATTCCAGCAGCATTTCCTTTTCCTTCCTGAAAAATTTATTTCTGTCTCTGGCTTCAGTCCTGACCCCTGGGGAGGATCAGGGTAGGAAAACAGGGATGCTGTTAGCACTGTCTACCTCATTGACAGTTTCTGTCTCCTTCACCTACCCTGGCATTCTCATTGCTTCTTTTCGTCTTCCTCCTTTTCTGTTTCATTATGCATTGAGGGAAATGGTGGGTTTTTTTGTTGCCATGCAAGCAGGGCATCCTTCTGCATGACCCAGTATTACTGTGTATGTGGAACTTTGGCCAGCTCCCAGTTCTCCACTCCTGTGATTTGTTCTTAATTTTATTGCATTTGTACTTAACTTTAACAGATCATAGGGACTGGTGCACTTTAGGGTCACCTGTGGTGCATTCTGGCCAAGCCCAGTCTCAGCTTCACAGCTTGCCAGCACCCAGGGACATGCAGGGCTGCAGATGCCCTGGGGAATTAATACCTTGGGAGTGACCTTCACTCACCCAGTGGCTTTGCCCTTGGTGGGTCCATCTTGTAAGCGTGTTACACACAGTATCTCTGGGTCTCTGTGGGATTGAGTGCCACTTGCCCCTGTGGTCAAGAGTTCCTCCCTACTTCCCATCTCATCTCCATCCCTCTGTTTTGTAGGTTAACTCCTAAATAAATTACTTCCACAAAGAAAGTTTGTGGAGTACACTTTTGGAGAAATTCAAATGAAACAAAAAGACTCATTAAATCACGGTTTTCCTCTTGCCTTTTTATTTGCAACTTTTATTTAAATCTCTGGCATCTAGGACTGGAAAACACCTGATAGTCCAGTTCACTTCCTGCCCACCTCCCAGCTCCCCTCTGTGACTTGATTCCCTCCATTGTAAATTTTCCTCTGTATCATTCCATTCCAAGAATTTGTGTTTCAGAGTTAATAAAAAGTGTAGAGGTTGCTGGTTCCATACGCTGGTTTGTTACATGAAAGCATTTCCTGGCTATAGAGATGGCATTTCGAGTCAGCCAAGAAGACTGAGAACGGAAACTTGGGGTGTAGATGGTGACATATTTGGTGTTAATGTGCCTTCTCACTCCTCCTTGTTTATGGCAAGTGGTAGTAATTTGCCTTTATGATCATAAAGCAAAGTTTTCTTTTAAAATGTATTTGTTTAAATAAATGAAGAGTCATTTTAAACAAATGATAATTAAGTGAGTGTTTGAATACCACAAAAATTGTGAAATACTGAAATCTGGGAAACAGTGTTCCAGAATGTGGGTCTAGATATCTCATGTAGGAAGCATGAATGTGCTTGGCTCTTCTTACTAAAGTCAACTATTATTTATGACCTTTAAATTTTTTCTTTGAGAAAGGGTGGGGATTTTTTTTTGTGATTCCAAGATATTTCTGGAAAACAAAGCATATTTCTGACCAGCCTATGTAAGCAGAGCTTTTTAAGGTGGGTCAGTCCTGATTGCTTGACTACATACGTATCACAAAAATAGACCGTAAGACTTAGGTTGAAAGTCCAGGTATTTGTTCCTGAGGTGGCTTCTGCCAACTCATGCCCAGCAGCACATAGGGCAGGCACAGATCTGTTTCTGGGTGGTAGTGATTTTTGATTTCTGAAAAACTGAGCTATAAATGAAGGCATAGGAAGCTGGGAGCCTCACTCTTGGTGCCTGCTTGGCTGATTGAGCAGACCTGCCACTCCAGGCAGGAACCCTCATTTATGGGAACATATTTATTTTTACATATCAATGATGTATTTTTGATATACTTGATTAAATAGTGTGGATTTGGCCCCAGGAAACACCACTGCAGTTTATAAATAGTCCAGGGGTGTACAAGGTTCCTGGAATTAGAACGGTATTTTTATTTTTATGTGCCTTAGTACATTGACATTTTTATGTTTTTGAAGACCAGCTCTTACCCAAATATATCTGCTTTTAATTCCAGAACACATCTTTGTATGAATTTTTAGAAATTTCTTCTATGTCTTCCCAAATGCCTAACTCTGCAAATTAATCCCAGAAAACAGTTGTTCATATATTACAGATTTAAAACCAGTGTCCCCAACTTACAGCCCCTTTCCACTTGAAGGCAGTCTCAACTTACTACTTGGAAATGGGTTTTATTATTTGGCAACACTTCAGCCTCAGTCTTACTTTTGGTATCATTTCTTCAGGCTCCAAAGACATTTTACTAAACCCAATGAGGCAGATTTTATCGCCATCTGACTCCCTACCCCTTTTTACAACTTCCCACAGAAATGGAGATCTTCACGCTTTTCAACAAGCCGAAGAACCATCAGAAGGGCCGGCAATACTACCCTGTCACCATTCCTCTCCGCATCTCCAGAAATGGGCAGACAGTGAGCAGTCTGGATGCCAACTGGTTGGAGCACATGAGTGACCACTTCCGGAAAGGGGGGATGCTGGTGAATGCAGTCTTCCACCTGGGAATGGTGCATGGTATGGAAGTTGCCTTTGGTGGCTCTCGCTAACTCTACTGATGCTTTGTGGTCTTAACTGCTCTTCAGGGTATGCTGCATTCAGAAAGCTGTACAGGCAGTAAACGTGTGGCATTTGATTTATAATTAATGCATCTTGAGCAGTTTTCATAAAGCCAAGGACCTGTGCTCTCCAGACCTCTACAGAGATCATCCAGGTGCCTTCTGAAATGTCAGGGAAAGGGCAGTGATTCTGCTTGATCCACAGTGGTCTCCATCCCTGTTGCTTTTAAAAGCTTTTATAAAGATGATTCCCTAGGATTGTTAATTACCTCCTGCAATTATGTCGCTCAAAGGTGCAAATTGTTTGTAGACACTATTACAGTTTGAAGCAGCAGTAGCAGCACCTTGGAATTGACAGTAGAACAATAAATTGCACTGCCTGGTTTCTGTAAGCTCCACTGGGACACACTCTATTCCTGGGTCTCAGGTCACCTGATTCTCCCCATGAATGGATGATTTCCTGGGGGATTGTTGCATAGAAGAGCATTAGTGATGTCAGCTGTCAAGGCAGAAAAAAGTCTTCCCACAGTAGAAAGGTATCAAGAAAAGAAAGGGTTTTGGGTTAACATGAAGGTAAATTGAATCACCTGCTTGGTACATATCAAAGCTGGGGGGCAATTTGAGGACTGGGACCAACATGCCAGTGTATACAGGTCCTGAGGGCTACTAGTCAGAGGGCTTCATAAGTGACATGCAATACCAAATTTGTTAATCCCAACAAAAACTGGCAGGGGTCAAACAGTACTGTGTCTTGTTAAGTTTTCTGTCTAAAGAACCAGCAGAGGTAGGAATGGATTCTGTATTACTTGCAATCCTTGAAATGCCAGCAAGCATCTTTAGATACTGGTGTTAATTCTGAATGTACATTCTTTGAATCATTCAAAGCCTTGGCAGATGACATAGCACAGACAGGCCTTAATTTTGTATGCAAGTCACTTGTTAGTGTCTAACATCAATGTCTAATATCAACATGTTACTATCATAGCATAAGGCATTGTAGAATCAGTGGACCATAATCATCAGTTAAATGAACGAATGACATAAGGAAGGCAATTACCTCGTTAAAAATACATCTAGAGCAGCACTGTCCTATAGAACTTCTGTGATAATGGAATGTTTTATATCATGCTTTCCCAACCATTTGTGGGTACTGAGCACAATTAACATTTATTTAGTTTAAATAACTGAATGCGGCTAGTGCATTGGATTATGCAATTCTATCGATACAAATAAGGATGAGTCACTTCTGTTCCCTGGTTACCAGGTCATTAACCTCTCTGTACAAGAGGACACTCTCCATGGTAGCCATGGCAGAGGGGGCCATGAAACCAAGGGCTGTCATGATCTGTCTGAAGATGCTCCATAAAGCCCAGGGCAGCATATGTTTGGAGCAAGTATTTGAGTCATGGGCCTGAGAAAGTGCTAGAAACGAGCCTCCTGCTTCCTGCAGGTACACCCCCTCGTCCATCTTAGGTTGGGCCCATAGCAGCTCCTTTGATATCCTCTGGTCTCCATAGATGCCCCATGTGGCAGTACGTAACTTTACACTTCTCTGCAGGAAACTGATAGCTATTAGTAATATCCTGAAGATTTACAGGGAGGTGCTGGAAGTGGTAGCTACACAGGCTGCTATGGGCAACTGTTTTTCCTCTTAGGAGAACTGGGGCATCAAAAGGCAGGTTTTCTTTGGCCCCACTGCTTGAGCAAGCTGAGTCCCAAGAGAGAACATCTTGAAACTTTACAAAGCCGTCCTCTTACCATGATGGTTTGGTAATCTAGGCTGAATTACTTTCCTTTGCTCTCTCTCCTCATCCTGCTTTCCAAACTTGCATCCAAAAGCACAGAGAAATTGTATGGTTTTTTACCTTCAGATTTGCCTTGAATGTTTGAAATGCTGTTATATCCTCCCTTAGCATTAAGCAGCATTAAATCCAGCCCTCCTGTCTTGAAGACACCGTGAAATGTCCCCTGGCAAGTGTAACTGTGAAGTCCTCCACCACGCCTGCCACATCTTCCTCCATGAAGCCATGTCTAGCACTGTGCCATAGCCATGTGACTCTGTCTAGGGAGGGTGGCATGAAAGTCTCAGAACTCAACTCACTGGAACCCATTCTCCCTGGAAAGACAGTTTGCCCTGTGTTTGTGCTGAGAGGAGCCTGTGAAATGGGGTGAAGGTAGTGAGCTTTAGGCTGTTTATGCTCTGGAAAAGCTCAGATTTTCTGCTCACCAGAAAAGAAACAGAAGTACAATATTCTCCCAGAATTTTTTTAAAAGGGCAAATTAATCAAAATTATGAAAGGAAGCCATAGCTAATGAAATAATTAGTGTATTTACTAGATAAACCTAGTAGAGGCAGAAGCACTTGAAGCTGTTTGCCATCTGGGAAAGCACCAGTCAGAACTCTTCAGTGGGTAGTTATACTCCAGAACAGTGCCCACAAAATCATAAAACTCCTGAGAGCTTTGTTCCTTGAACAAGGTGATGCAGGAGTCAAATTACCCAGCTCAGACTTTGGTTTCTGTTTTCACTCTCAGGCCATGGAGAGATCCTTCCAGTCCTGAGCTTTGGGCTGCCCCTCCTGGTACTAGGGGTTCTTTCCCCACAGTCAGGTATCTTGGCCAGGTAGCTTGCCAAGTCCAGCAAGCTCAGGGCACAGTAGGAGAAGTACCTCGAGGGTGACGTGTCCTTACGGGGCTCTGGCATTGCGGCTCCAAGCAGCCTGCACATAGCAGCTCCTCCTGTGTCATCATCATCATAGCTCTGCTCGGTCACGGGGACTGTTATTACTGCTGTGCTGAGGAAGAGAGAGGCTGTGTCACTGCCAGGGTTTCCATCTGATAAGTGACAAGATTGTGAGAGGAAGAAAGAATGGTTTGGGCAGGGTAAAGGGCTGCGCGGAGGCAGGAGGAGACAGAAGTTAATGGAGGCTGTGGTCTCAGCAGGGCCTCAAGGTAGAAAGAGGAGGGCTCCAGGGCTACTTGGGGGAACAGGAGGAATGAGCTCAGGCCCCACAACAGAACCGCACTGGCACTCAGCAGCACTGCAGGTGAGAAGACAAAGGCTGGTCTCCAGAGGGTGGAGGAGGGAGGGCCTGCATCAAGCTGGCTGTTGAGGAGCAGCAGCCAGGTGACACCATCTGCAGCCCCAGCTTGGAGGCTGGTCTCTCTCCAAGGGTTCTGGGCCTGCCAGACCCCTGCTGCCATCACTGGCCGCCAGAACCATGGCTGCCACCCCCTCTCTCCAAGGCCGGCTTCACCCTGCCTTTGTCCCTGGTGCCTCCACCTGCCTTGCATTACTTGTTCTGAACACACCCTCGCTTTGGTGTGCCCCTGCCATCCTGCTCTCACTGTGTATTCCCAGGCCCTGTGCTGGCCTTCTCCCTGACCCTCCCTGATCCTCCGTTTGCCCTGCCTGTTCCAGCCTGTCCTGCCCTTGCCCTCTCCTTCCCTGGCAGTTCTTCTTCTCTTTGTTTTAAACAGATATTCTTCTCTACTGATTGTGCAAACCTTATTCTACTCCAGCAGCACACACTACGTAATGAGTCTGCCTTCACTTTTCTCTTGTGCATGGTGATCCCATCCTTGCTTTCCTTTTTAACTACAAGAGCCCTTCTTTCTGCCCTGACTGCTTGAAAAGGATTCTGCAGAACATCCTGAATATGGATTTATCTGGTCAGTACCTTGTGGTGTCTTTTACTTTTCTGGTGTCTTTTACTTTCTGGTGTCTTTTACTTTTCACTATTTCCTATAAAAAGGAAGTTAGTTATATAGACGATAAATGAAAATTTATGATTGAAATACATTCTAGATGATGTCCTCTGCATGTCGTGTCACACAGGAGTGCCCAGCTGTCTCTCCATGCCTACCTTTTTTAAAAGATTGAGTTATCCTTGGAACTCTCCCTGATACTTCAGCCTGCATCTGAGTCCATATAGCATCGGATATTTCCATCACTCTTTTTAACACCGAGACCTAGCATACCCTGCATTACCATTACTTGCAGACTACAAATATAAGAACATATACATCTTCCATGTGGAATATGTGTGTATGTGTGTGTGTGTGTGTGTGTGTGTGTGTGTGTATGGCTTATACACAGACTTGCAGAGCCCAGCGTGTACTTCTTGACATGCCATTGCAAGTGCCCTAAGCTCTGAGGCAGAGTGTGTTTGTCTTATAGTGGTCAGAGAGTACCATTCCTACTCTAGCCACTCACACAGCGTATGGCTGTTCATAGTTGGAACTCAATAATATTTCTTAGTTTCTCAAAGAATACATGCTTTAGAGTCAAACAGAGTATATGTCAGATCTAGTTTGGTTCTTTCATTCCATTTGAACATGGTCAAATTATTTAATTTTTGTAGCTTCAACTGTCTCATCCACTAATGGGCAATGGTAACTCTTGGAGAGTTTTGGGGAAGATTCCATGGGAGATTCTGAATCATGCCAGGCAGAGTGCCTCATATTTAGCCAACACTGAGCCATCATGTCTCTTCCCTGTATGGTTAATGGCACTGAAACTTACAGCTAATCCTTGCTCTTGCTGAAGAATGCTATCTTTTCAAGGACACTGAGCTTTTCACAAAAATGTAGGAGGGCTGGCAGGCAAGTCCGGAGCATCAGTCAGAGCCTAAGAGGTAAGCTTGCTCATTATCTGGTTACTAGAGGAAATTAGCGATAGGGAAGCAGAATGAGACGAGTGTCTGAAATGGGTTAAATAATGGTTTTGTTCACTGTGGATTGCATGTTGGGATGACCAACTTGTATTCACATCATATGTTGGCCAGCACCATTCCTGGAACAAGAGAGTTCTGAGAACATTGTGTGACTTCCCGTGGAGAGGAGGGGCTGTAGGGAGCCATAGAATCTGTGATGCCCTCTGCAGACAGTTTAGTCCTACCTAGCTTGACAAAAATAGATGGTCACTTAGTTTTTAATCTCATTGAAATATCCTAAATGCGCTTATTGCTTGACCCAGTGTGTACATTCCGAGCTAGACTGGGAGGATACACCCAGGGCTAAGCCTGAAGGTGAGCCTGACAGAAAGTTATGATGACTGCCAGAGAAGAGTGGTTGCTCCTAGCAATTACCTCTGGAGATAATATGGCAAATCTTCTTTTCCCACGTCCTTTTTGTAAATCATAAGCTTGGAATGTTAAGGTGGCCTTTTGCCAAAAGACTGACATCAAATATTTATATCATACCAGGGCAAATAGCTTTTTGTGCACAGTAGGGAAGCATCTTTACTTTAATAAAAAAAAAATGCAGTGATAATGGAATGTTTCCCATAGATGGAGGGCAGTTTAACCTTTTTACGTTAGGAAACTTTGCTCTGAGAGAGACCTATTTATACCCAACTCATGGCGCATTTCAGTGAGGCAGAGCTGTCAAAGTCATAAGGAGATGGGGAGTGGATGAGGCCGTCAAAACAAGGGGTTTTTTTAAAGTCTAGCTGGCTCTCTTTGTGATTCTTTGACTTTTTTTGTTGTTTCATATGACCATGTTTTGACAGCCATCCTGAACTTATTTTGTAGTTAAGTAGGTGGGTCAGCGCCAGATTCAGGAGGTAGAGCACCAGGGGAGGGGCTGGGAGGCAGGCAGTGGATGAGGGGGCCAGTATGCTCCTGCTTATTATCCCAAGCCTGGCCACACCTCCTCCCTGGCCTGTAAGGAAGGAGGGGAAGTCTATACAGGCTCCAAGTGTCCCTTCCCTCTCCTGAGTGCAGCCCTGCCTCAGGGTGCTATATTGGCAGGCTAAAGATCATTATTCTTTATGTTCAGCTGGGCTCTTTGGTACTTACATCACAGGTTGGGCATGGCTGGAGGTTTCCATTGAGGAGCTGGTGTAAGTGGAAGTTTTGGAAATTAGGTATACTGTCATCCCTTGGCATCCACAGAGAAGTACCCCTTAGATACCAAAGTCTGTGCTACCTGCATCTTCCTATATATCTCTGGATTACTTACAATGCCTATTATGATATAAATGCTCTATAAATATTTGCTATACTCTTATTTAGTGACAATAATAACAAAGAAAAGGTCTGTACACGTTCCATATAGACTTTTTAAAAATTCATCTGCAGTTGATTGAATCCACAGATGTGGACCCTGTAGATACAGAGGGCCAACTACAACATGTCTCTAAAGGTCTTGAGAAAATATGTGCTATCACTATAGAATCCTGAAGGGATTGCTGAGTGTCTTCTGATCTTTAGGTCAAAACTGGAGAAGTTTTATTCAGAGGAGTTTCTTAAGGGATCCCTGACTCCATTCTGTGCTCAACTCTGGCCTGTGCATATCCAGGATATTATTGTCTCCTCCTCCATTGTAAGGTAGCTTTATTTTGCTGCCTGTGAGGTCTGCAGTGGCCAGCAGGTGTTGGGATGGATGAGTATGTGGCCTAAAGGTCACTCAGGGTTCGAGTATTTGAGTGCTTCCCAAAACATACTGGGTAGATCACCCTTCTGAGGCTCTGTCTTCTATTCTTGGACTATTCTAAGAGAGGTTCTAGGTTGCTGCCTTAGAACAAACAGTCAAAAAGGGGAGACTTTTTGTGATAGGTGCTTCAGACATTATGAAATTACTCTCTAAAATACTGCAATTGAAATTCCCATAAGCACTATAAAATTTCCCTTATCTTCATACCTCTACCAGGAGTATTTTACTTTCAAAATTTGCCAATCTGGTAACAAAAGAGATTGAAACTTTTTTTTCAATATGTACTGCCTATGGAAAGAGCATTAATTGCTAATTTATGTTCTTTGCCCATTCCTAATGGTATTTTCATATTTTTAGCTATCAATTTATAAAAGCTTCTTATATGTAAAGAGTGTCTAGCTTTTTGATGCAAATAATTTCCCCATGTTGTTAAGCTTTTTAATTTTGTTATGTAGCTATAGATTGTTATGCATTCATATTGGTCAGTCTTTTTCTTTGTGATTTCTGAAAAATACTGCAATTCCAAAGACTCCAGTGTGATTCATATTTATCTCCCTTGCCTGTGTGTGTATGTGTGTGTGCACATATCACATTATTATGTATTTGTCTTATTACAATTATCCATTTAAAGTAGCAAATCATTAAATGGGCTTTGTATGCGTTTTAGTCTACCAGGGCCACAGATTAAGTGATTGGTGCCATAAATGATACTTATTTCCTCCTATTTCTGGAGGCTCGATCAAGGTGCTGGCAAATTTGGTTTTTGTTAAGGGTCTCTTACTGATTTCAAGACATCTGCTGCTTCACTCTGTCCTCGCACAGCTTTTCCTCTGTACATCTTGGAGACTGGGGTAATGCAGGAGCAATCTCTGGTGTCTCTTCCTGTTCTGCAGGGATTATGCCCTTATGGTCTCATTTAACTTTACTTCCTAAAGACTCCAAATATAATCACGTTGCGAGTTCAGGCTTCAATATACGAATTTTGGAGGTCACAGTTCAGGCTATAACAGTATCTTTGAGTAGTGCTGGTGGACTAGAACCCCAGAGCTTGGAAAGGATTATCCGTTCAAAAATTCCATGTCACAGATGCGAGGCCAAGGCTCTGAAAGGGTTATGGTACTTTTCATGAGTCGAGACCCAGGCCACTGGCTGCTACACCAATCCTTTCCCCTACAATCTGATTTAAATGAACCTAGGACAGTTAGGACCTACAATCAAAAAGGAAGTGGGCAGAAGGTGTCTTCCTTTGCATCTCCTGCTGCAAGGCAAGGTCTGCTCTAGTTTGCTTTATATCCTCATTTCCTAGACAGTTCTTGGATCATGCTGTACATTTAATGTATAGTTGTTGAGTTGGACAGAACTCAGAACCTGACACATTGATGACAGCAATGCCTGAGGAAACATTCTCAGTGGTAAATAATTTTGGGAAGTTCCCGCACTCCCAAATTCCTACTCTTGACAAGAGCTGCCTGAAATGTCATCTGAATTGCAGCCATATCCTGCAAACCTCTAACACTCGGCACTTCTGCACCTGACAAGCTCAGATTCAGTGTGTTATATCTGCCTTTCCTTTAAAAAAAAAATCCCTCTCACCTAAATATAGTTTTATTCTAAAAAATGTCTCTAAATGGCTGTGTTTTACTCTGGATAAGTTCTCCCCAGTGCTTCCTGATGGAGCGTGAAAAGGAAGGTAAACGCGTGAAATCAAATGGTGATTGCTAACAATGAAATTTGGTCTCATAAAATCAAGGATATTATTCAAAACTGCGAGGTAAATTAGTCTCATTCATTCTGATGGGGCTAGACTCTATGGCTGTGTGTGCTCCTTTAATTAACATGCTGAAAAGATGTTCTGATTGGGATTATTAATGAATGCAATGAAAAATTTTGCTGCTTATACAGCTTCTGCCACAGACAGCTTACACAGACTCCGTTTTGCTTTTTTTTTCTCTACAGACCCCTTACATGGCTTGACAGATGGTGTATTCATCTTTGAAGCTGTTTCCACAGAAGATAGCAAAACCATACAGGGCTATGATGCTATTGTTGTCGAACAATGGACAGTCCTGGAAGTAAGTGTGGGATTGGCAGTGGTGTTTCTTCTATTTGGGCAGTGATTGTTTTGTCAGCTTGCTCAGCTGTGACTTTCTTATGAAAGAGATTCGCCTGGGTCCCTGTCAAGGGGTCCTTTAATTCCTCATGTGCTCCCAGGTGAGGGTGGATCCCACTTTTCCCCTCTCTTGAGGAAAAACTCATTGCATGTGTCAGTTCAGTGGATGGAAAGACAGCTGGATCATTAATTTGCATGTCACATAGGAGGCAGGCACCTAGTTTGTGGCCTCCATGACAATAACAACAGCACCGACCCTGATGCTGAGTCCTTGCCACCTCCCTGTATATCTGTGCCCATGAGCTCATTCAGTCACCTAAGGAGCCTGTGAGGTAAGTGCCATTATTGCTCCTGTTTTGCAGTTAGGAAACTGAGGTACAGAGAGCTTGAGTCCCTTGTCCAAGGTTTTGCATGAAGTGCTACAGGATATATTTGAGAAGTGGTAACTCACATTGCCTCCAGGTGGCTGTAGGCAAAGGAATCCTTCGGGCCCTGATCCACTGGCACTTTGGAATCCCTCACTGACTTCTAAGATTCACTGGCTCTTCTCCAATAGCATTGATATTCAAACTAGTTGTATGTACACTTGTCTTAGTTTCCTCTCATTGCTGAGACAAAATACCCAACACCCAAAGTTAAAGGAAGGAAAGGTTTGTTTAGCTATAGTTTGGGTGGGGGGTTCAGTCCATATTCAGCTGACTCCAAGGCAGCGTGGCATTGCAGAGGAGAACAGTTTGTGGTGGACAGGATCAACAAGGGATGACCACAGCTCTTTCTAACTCTTGTATCTTATCCAAGTTACTTAGGGTAGGTAGCACTCACATCCTTAATCCTAGTATCCTTGATCCTAGCGCTGCACCATGAATCAATCCCAGCATCACACTGGAAAAGACCTACCTGTGACTGCGTGAGGCTTTGGGGTGACATCTAGACACAAACCGTAATAACCCCTCCTGGGATGTCAAGGAAAGCTCTTTGAACATAAAGGACTGATTTCTGAATGCCTAGAAAAACACAGGATTGGTGCTACTCTGAGGGTTGCCAGGGCAGAGTAAGACAGAGGCGGATGCAACTTTAGGGGAGCAGGGAGCAGCTTGTGCTGACCAAACGTTTGCACTTGTTAGTTCTGTGGCAGGCCTTGGCCTGGTTTATGGGCAGGAATCAGAAGCCTCAGGGCACTGTTATTGGGCTTTGAGGCCCCAGAAGTTTCCAGCAGACTTCAGAGAATGGGAAGCAGACTTCAGAGAATGGGAAACAGGGCTGCCTTGGCCATGCCTGCATCGCAGCAGTGATGGGGGATTATTGCTTCCAAGCGTGACAGGTGTGGAGTACACCAAGAAACTGGAATATGCAAAACAGGTGTTGCAAAGTCCCAGCATCCAGGCCCAGAAATCTTAAAGACATGTGGAAAGTAAGATAAGATGATGATCCGGTTTGCAATTAGACTGTACCAGTTATCCTCATGTGACCTTAGTGCCCAGGGGTCTTTCCAGCCTCTATGCTCCTAACTGGAAAGAGGTATAGAAGAAGTGAGGCACAGTCTAAAACATAGAGCACAGTCCAGGGAGCCATATCACCTCTCAGTGCCTCACACTTCCTCCCCTGTAGGATGGGACAGGGCTGTTTATCCAAGCGCTCCACAGGTAAAGTGAACAAGGCTCCAGGTGACATGAAATAGGAACTAACAGGAGGAGCAGGTTGAGGCTCTTAAGGACCCATTAACATGGAAGACCATGCTCATTGCCCAGCAGCCCAACTTTAGCCTGGAGGCTTGTCCATAGCAGGAGAGGTACATGGCTGTACCCAGAAACTGTGCAAGTATGGAGGCAATTGGCAGGAATTATAAAATTCCCTGTTGTCTGTATATGGCTGTTAAGCAGGAGCACAGTGTGAATGGTTGGAGTGAACATGTTCTATTGACGTCACTCAGCTTTCGGATGATGTTACCTCTAGATAAACCCATCCTAAACTGAAGATGCTGTAAGTTGAAAATGCATTTAATGCTCCCAAAGTGCCCAGCATGATAGCTTAGTGCCAGCACACTGTGGAGTCCGAGTTGTCTCTTGTGATCACATGGCTCACTGTGAGCTGCTTTGAGCTACTGCAGCCGAGCAATGGCCCGAGAGCATGGTACTGCAGATTGCTAGCTGAGGAAAAGACCAAATTCAAACTCAAAGTTCAGTGTCTACTAAGTGCATATCACTTTTGCTCCTTTGTTCTAAAACTTTAGTTTTAGAACATCATAGGGACCACATGTATATATGTTTTAGACCATTAGGGACCACTTGTATATAAAATGTTTGTAGGAAGAAAATAAGATTCTAAATTAAAGACATTGTTGTCTTTTACAATTGACATTGTATGATTTAAGAAGTTAGATAAGGAAAGCTTAACATTTATTCATAAGCTTTTCTTGGATCCACAGACTGGTTTCCATTAAGCTTATCTATCAGCTTACTTTCTAAAATGTTTCAACGTTTTTTTCCTCCTGATGTCTTATTTTTATGCATAGATCTGTTCGATGGCATTAGACTTGGAAGCCACGCTACCAGGGGTGCTGTTTGAGCTTCTCTGTAGGAGTCCTTGGAAATACATTGGGGTTTTTAAGGACTTGTGGCAGGCTCAGTGGCATGCAGCAGCAGCAGTTAATCTCAGTAACATGAGATTAACTGAAGTGGTAGTATTTGCACAATGGAACCTGGCAGACCTTAGGTGTTGCTACTTTCCCTCTACCCTAGAGAGCCAATTCTAAGCATTTACCAGCACGAAGAAGAGAAGCCTTCATTTCATCACATTTCAACATTACAATATAAAGATGTGGCAAGTGTCCAGGAGGCAGAAGTATATTCTTTTAGTTTTCATAATAGGGACAAATGAATTAGTGTTTTTGTCATTGATCATTAGTTTTTCTCTGTTCAAGTTTTCACACTTGCACTTCTCTGTGGTCTCTGGAGCAGCCTTGAATTTCCACAGAAAAACAAATCTCTGTCCCATCTAGCAGTACCAGCCTCGGAGATTCGGTATCTCCTAGAGGCAAAAGGAGGGATCTCTTTAGGAAAAACTGTACCCCAGGGCATAGCAGTGTGCCTTCCTCCTATAGCCAGGATAGGCAGCCTTCAGGATTCAGCCTGGAGGCTACTTCTTACAGAGTGCAAGGCCGCTCCTGTGTATGCCTCTAATGCTCTGTGCAGGAGCCTACTGTGACTTCTACTGTCCTCTTTTCACTTTTCTCCCTCGATTGAGAGTTTCTAGGCCCGGGACTATTCATCCCTGTTCTCCCAGGCACTCCACTAAATTATTCTTGAGTTGGGTGAAAATCTTCGAATTTAGCCAATGGGTAGAGCAATGGTTCTCAAAATCAGGCTTGTGTCAGAATCACGGGGAGAGCTTTTGAAAATGAGTATCTGGAGTGTAGCCCAGCCTTTCTTTTCCAGTGAGTGTCTTAGTCTGCTAAGGCTGCCATAGCAAAATCCACAGACTACGTGGCTGACACAAAGGAGATTTATATTCTTACGGTTCTGGAGACTGGAAATCTGAGATTGACGTTGTACCAGGATTTGGTTTCAAGTGAGGGTTCTCTTCCTAGCTTGGGGAGGCTGATTTTTTTCACAGAGCCTTTCTTCTGAGCATGGTCAGAGGTGTCTCTTTATAAGGACTTAGTTCTGTTGGATCAGGACCCCACTCTAACGCCCTCGGTCTCCATTACTACATTGGAGACCCCATCTTCACACTCAACTTAAATCTGAGGGTAAAACACAACATTCAGTTTGTATGAGTGCATCTGAGATGGGGCCCAAGAATTTACACTTTTCAAGTACGCCAACGCTGCCGGTCTGGGGCGTGCACTTTGAGAATCCCACCATAGAGGAAGGGAGTGCTTAGCGCTTATTACCGTAACAGTGAGCAATGTCCAGTTTTGGACAGGTTTTCCTGGGCTCAGTTTTTAAAGCTGCTCTGTCAGACGCCCACTATGACCCACAGAGAGTCCCACTCCAAGGCAGTGGGTGCTCACCCAGCTCTTAACTCCCCCTCCCCAGTCCACCTACTTCCTGTCTTCCCCACCCTCTTGGCCTTGCAAAAGGCTTTTCCTGTTTAAGCCCTGGGCAGGTCCCTTTTGGCTCTTCATTAACCCTGTTTTTCTGGCAACACTGTCTTCCTGGGCAGGCCCTGATGTACCGGGCTTTGCCAGAGAATGCTGTGTACAGCTCTTTCCCATTCACATAATAGAGATGGCCCGCCAACTGCCCTGCCCTGTTCCCACCTCTTTATTCCTGTGTCTGCCTCTTAGCTGTGTAGCTCAGGGTTCTCACTCCTCTATTTCTGCCTGAGTCCCCTCTTCACATATGCATGGACACTCACACCATGCCCAGATAACCAGTCTGGCACTTTTCACCCCTGAAGGCTGTGTGCACATTGGAAAGGAGATACAGATTCCAGAGCCTGGCCTGGGTGTGCATCCTGGCTGAACAACTGTGTACAGGAAAAGCAAATCACTCCCTCTCTGTTCTTCCATTGGTGGGGATACTGATAACAATGTCTCAAAGTTAGTGAGACAGTTAAAGGAGAAAATATGTCTAACAAAAAGTCACAACTGTAGGATCTGGTGAATAGTAAGCACCTAATAAAACATCACTTTATCAGTCACTTGATATTATAATAAAACAGATCCTTTTGTTGTCTTATTCTAAGTGCACCAAGCAGGGTGTGTTGGGAACATGCGTTGCCAAATTTTCTCAGTTAGAAACCAGTGGCCTAAAATGAAATGTGTAAGGTGGATAATAGGTCAACCACAGCGCATTTGACTTAGAGTTTCCAGTGTAGAGTATGAGCTAGGAAGGTAATTCTTTCAAAGAAACGGAAAGAACTACACAGAAGAGCAGGATAGACGGACAGCCCTCTTCTTTCTCTCTGAGACTGTACATTTGGATCTGACAGCCCCTCAGTCTAGGGATGCCACCCGGT